TCTCATGGTTAGTGGCTGGAGCCCCACATCGGGCTCCGCACTCACGGTGCAGAGGCTTCTTGAGATTCTCTGTCCCCCCACCTCATAAATAAATAAACATTAAAGAATTCCTACCAAATTGCTTTAAAAAAATAAAAAGGGGGGGGCGCCTGGGTGGCGCAGTCGGTTAAGCGTCCGACTTCAGCCAGGTCACGATCTCGCGGTCCGTGAGTTCGAGCCCCGCGTCAGGCTCTGGGCTAATGGCTCAGAGCCTGGAGCCTGTTTCCGATTCTGTGTCTCCCTCTCCCTCTCTCTCTGCCCCTCCCCCGTTCATGCTCTGTCTCTCTCTGTCCCAAAAATAAATAAATGTTGAAAAAAAATTTAAAAAAAATAAAAAAATAAAAAGGGAAGGAGAACCCCATCACAGGTAAATATATGCTTCCACCTGTTATCACCCAAAGCAGATCCTGCTGTTAAGAAGGCAGCCTTAGAACGTTTTCTGGACCCAAATGCCCAAACCCAAGCATTTGATCAGCTTGGCCATCTCTACCAAGGAAGTTCCTGGCGGGTTCTCCCCACAGAACTCTCCCAGCATCACAGCAGTGGGAGCTATAGGGCTGTTCGGAGGCTCCCGGACTGGCTTTTAACAGTACCTTCCAGGGGCGCCTGGGTGGCGCAGTCGGTTAAGCGTCCGACTTCAGCCAGGTGACGATCTTGCGGTCCGTGAGTTCGAGCCCCGCGTCGGGCTCTGGGCTGATGGCTCAGAGCCTGGAGCCTGTTTCCGATTCTGTGTCTCCCTCTCTCTCTGCCCCTCCCCCGTTCATGCTCTGTCTCTCTCTGTCCCAAAATAAATAAACGTTGAAAAAAAAATTTTTTTTAACAGCACCTTCCAGAATGAGAACTTGCAGCTGCAGCTCATTCCCTCACCTGTGACCAAGGAGGGAGGCCTCTCTGGGGCCTGGAGACCAGAGACAATCCTAAGGCAACCGGGGAGGGACCCCGCTCTCTGGCTGGCTTGGCCCCCCTCTGCCTCCTCAAATTCTGAGCAGAGGTTCTGAGGTGGTCTTCCGTGCCTGGCGCTTTGTCGGTGCCCCCCAATTCCCCAGGAAGACTCCCAGCCCCTTGCAAGATCCTGCTGGGGCATCTACTCCCCAAACCCATCGCTTTTGTTTTGCTTGTTAAGCAAAGGAATATCACATAACTCCCTCCAGCTTTTTCAGAAAATGCACTTGCCGGTTTCCCTGAAGCTTAGAGAATAGGTGGGGCTCAGGCAGGCGGCATTCCAGAGTCTGTCATACTCTGTCCCCTCCAGCTGCCGGGTAACAGGGAGGAACTTGAACTTCTCTTGCGCAGAAGAGGGACAGGTGGCGCCTGAAAGCAGTGTAACTGAGCCCTGCGCTGGAGGGAGCCAAAGACCTGTGGGGGCGAGTGCATCTCTGTTCTGATGTGTTTATGTTAAAACCAATTTGAGGGGCGCCTGGGTGGCTCAGTCAGTTAAGCGTCCGACTTCAGCTCAGGTCACGATCTCGCGGTCCGTGAGTTCGAGC